ACTGCATTTACTAAATGTAGAAGCCTAGCCAGATTTTATAGTAAAACCAACAGAGATGCTAACTGCAAAAAATACCTTTAGGACAAGGAACAGTTACCCTGGACAAAGCCACACAAGTCTATAAATGTAATCTTCTCAGGAACTGGTGTTCCGGGGTTGTCCTACTGTTGGTGTTAACACAGACACGCTTTTTTAAGATATCCCAAAGTATCAGTGTTAAACAGTGTAATGGGCCTGTAATTAACATTGCATTCAATGAAGTTACTCTGTAAAATATTTTAATACGATGGCGCGTATGTTTCTGATTACTTTGGGAAGCACAATACCTTTCTCTTCAAAACGACTTGATCCTGTACAATAGGATACAGTTTGACACTTTGCCACAATCTCAGGCCACAAATAGTGCCAACAAAACCTGATCCAGTAAGCAATTCATGTTTCTGCTTAAAGCACATATTTCTACATTTAACAGTGTTGCTTCCGTCCCTCTCCTCGCCCCTATCTGGGCTTGAACCAGGGACCCTCTGCACACATCGACAACTACTTCAAGGTCTCAGAGCGAGTGACGTCACCGATTGAAAGACTACTAGCGCGCAACGCTAACAAGCTAGCCATTTCACACCGGTTACATACACTCATATAGGAAACTTGACATAGTTCATAAAGCATAATCCAATTAGAGGTTGGACTGTAGGGGAATGTACTGTATACTGCATATCTAAATTAATTCCTTCAAAGAGTTCAAAAGACACATTGTATTGTAAAGTAAATTGTTTTTTTATTTTATTTTTTCAATTCTCATACATTAAATCACTAGAAACCTGTCAGCTTATAATATAAGCTTTAGATCAGTCACTTGCATATTCCTTACCTGACTCCATGTGTGGAAATGTGTGCTTATGTCTGCTATCAATGTTTTTTGTTGTTGTTGTGATTTCAGACCCAAGCAGTGCTGTGAAGGGACATTATTTCAGGTGCCCAAACAACTGTATTGTTTGTAACTGCTGCTGGAATACAATTGCATTCTATAAACAAATGTTAATGTATCATTATTTGTAGGCTAAGCTTTGTGTGTTGATGTAAACACTTAACAAGGCAACTTCAAAGAAATGTATTTAATTCACAACGAATATCAGTTACAAACAAACATTTCCACCAAAACTCATCATCTACATTTCTTTACAAACATAGGTTAGGTTCATTTAATTCAAAACCAGAATAATTATTTAAAAAACATGTATTGGAAGTTGACATCTTAAAGTAACTGTCCAGTGAAAATGTTTTAAAGCTCATATTCTGTTTGGTCATACCCAAATAATGTTGTTGACTCATCCTTTACTTGTAGTTGTGGACAACGCATAAATTAGAGAAAACCCACTCAGTAAAACCCCATCTCAAACGAGTTTTTGAAACAAACCATTTCAAAAAATGCTTCAAATTTACTTGGAGAATGACATCATCCTCCTTGGCTGGGACAGACTAATCTGTGATTGGTCCAGCAGCTAGGGGTGACACATGCTCAGGAGGGCACACACGCTAGCTAGCAAGCCAAGCAATCCACAAATAGTGTTAGCAAAAAGGACAAAGCCTATACAACAACTATCTCACAAGTCACTTATATTTCAAATTATGAGGTTTGTAAGATTTGGCCTGCTGGCTGTTTAGAAGCAGTAAGCTAGCATGCTAACGTTAGCTATCGAGGCTAAATTAGCTAACTGGCTAGCCAACAAGAAAGCAAGCCAAAGCAGATCCTCCACACAACAACCATCTCGCCATTCAATTCCATTTTACATTTTGTGGTTTATACCTAAAAGTTGGATGTCAAGTGGAAACCTAGTTAGCTGTTGTTGACTGATATACAGTACCAGTCAAAGGTTTGGACACACCTACTCATTCAAGGGTTTTTATTTATTTGTACTATTTTTTACATTGTAGAATAATAGTAAATACATCAAAACTATGAAATAAAACATATGGAATCATGTAGTAACCAAAAAAGTGTTAAACAAATCTAAATATATTTTAGATTTTAGATTTTCTTTGGCTTGATGACAGCTTTGCACACTCTTGGCATTCTCTCAATCAGCTTCACCTGGAATGCTTTTCCAACAATCTTGAAGGAGTTCCCACATATGCTGAGCACTTGTTGGCTGCATTTCTTTCACTCTGCCGTCCGACTCATCCCAAGCCATCTCAATTGGGTTGAGGTCAGGGATTGTGGAGGCCAGGTCATCTGATGCAGCACTCCATCACTCGCCTTCTTGGTTAAACAGCCCTTACACAGCCTGGAGGTGTGTTGGGTCATTGTGCTGTTGAAAAACAAATGATAGTCCCACTAAGCCCAAACCAGATGTGATGGCGTATCCCTGCAGAATGCTGTGGAAGCCATGCTGGTTAAGTGTGCCTTGAATTCTAAATAAATCACAGACAGTGTCACCAGCAAAGCACCCCCATACCATAACACCTCCTCCTCCATGCTTTACGGTGGGAACTACACATGTGGAGATCATCCATTCACCCACACGCGTCTCACAAAGACACTGTGGTTTGAACCAAAACTCTCCAAGAAACCACTACTAAAGGACTCCAGACCAAAGGACACATTTCCACCAGTCTAATGTCCATTGCTCATGTCTCTTGGCCCAAGCAGGTCTATTCTTCTTATTGGTGTCCTTTAGTAGTGGTTTCTTTGCAGAAATTCGAACATGAAGGCCTGATTCACACAGTCCCCTCTGAACTGTTGATGTTGAGATGTTTCGGTTACTTGAACTCTGTGAAGCATTTATTTGGGCTGCAATTTCTGAAGCTGGTAAACCTAATGAATTTATCCTCTGCAGCAGAGGTCTTCCTTTCCTGTGGCGGTCCTCATGAGAGCCAATTTCATCATTGCGCTTGATGGTTATTGCGACTGCACTTGAAGAAACTTCCAAAGTTCTTGAAATGTTCAGTATTGACTGACCTTCATTCTTAAAGTAATGATGGCCTGTCATTTTTCTTTGCTTATTTGAGCTGTTCTTGCCATAATATGGACTTGGTCTTTTACCAAATAGGGCTATCTTCTGTATCTTTACAACACAACTGATTGGCTCAAACGCATTAAGAAGGAAATAAATTCCACAAATTCACTTTTAAGAAGGCAGACCTGTTAATTGAAATGCATTCCAGGTGACTACCGCATGAAGCTGGTTGAGATAATGCAAAGAGTGTGCAAAGCTGTCATCAAGGCAAAGGGTGGCTATTTGACGAATCTCCAATATGAGAAGAAAGAAAAGAAGAAATCTGCACACTGCTCTTGATAGGATCACTGCTCTTTAATAATCTCTACGCATCGGCTTCAAGGCCTTCGTCAGAGCTTTTCATATATTTTGATTTGTTTAACACTTTTTTGGTTACTACATGATTCTATATGTGTTATTTCATAGTTTTGATGTCTTCACTATTATTTTATAATGTAAAAAAATGTAAAAATAAAGAAAAACCCTTGAATGAGTAGGTGTGTCCAAACTTTTGACTGGTAGTGTATGTAGCAGCAGTTAGCTACCTAGCTAGCTTAGCTCCTACCAATCACGACTTGCTAGTTAGCTAGCTAGTAGCTAGCTAACAACAAAAATATCAGGAATAGTGACAAAGCAATGGACAGAAATGAATCACACTTGTAAAGTCTCCATTTATTGCTGCTATAGTAAAATGTAGTAGTTCCATCGTGTGTTTCCAAATCCTGAATCCATCCATAGCCTACTATTTGACTACAGGCAGTAGCCTTCGAAAAAAAAAGGAGGAAGGAAAAAAGGCAAGCCTGCTAGGCAGAGCGTGCAGCCCTGCCCCAGGTGGAGTTGGTAGCGAATTTGAATATCCAAGTGTATGCGCGTCTCATTGGCTGAGCTGGCAAATCAGCTTGTTTTTAGCGGTATACACACAAACCAATCTGTTGTTTCCACTCAGGCCAAGCAGGAGCACAGAGAAAAGCTTCTTTTTAACATACTTCATTATAGTTTTTGGGAAGGTCATCTATTAAATTCATATTGTAATTCATTTTTGTTAAATATTTAATAGAAATCTGGAACAGTGGACAGATACTTTAAAAGTACTGTAATATTGAACTGTATCAAAATATACATTCAATGCACTGTATGAATGCAAACGTTTCAGTGGAAGGTGACAATGCCTTACATGTCTAAAATTCAAGGTATTTAGACTTTTCTTTGACATTTCATCAATGGGCTTTTATTCTTCAATGTGATTTGTAAGCTTTTATTCTTCAATGGGATTTGTAAGCTGTTAGATATTCTTTTGGTGTGCAACACGCCATTTATGACCTTACCCAAACCCCACCAGTTCAGTTTGAGATGGCAATACCATTGGCATGTGCACATTTTGATTAAAGGAACTGGTTAGGCTACATCATATTGCTCCAAGAGAAACAAGACGTTTTGATATGACTCCACGCAGATGTTCTCATCCAATGGTTCAAGTACTTTACAAGGGGCAGTGAGATAGGTGTGAAGGTATCCAACAAGTGATGGCATGGAACAGCAGTTCAAAGCAATGGATCTTTTAACGTAACAATGAGATGCATTAAATGGTCTGTGATACAAGAAATAGTTTCCTTGATCCTAAACTAACGATGAGAAATGTGTTCAATCTGTGACCAGTAAAGTGAATTACATTTTTGTGCATCACTGTGAAAAGCAAACATTTACATCAATTCATACGATGTGAAAATAGCACGGATTGGGCAATAGATCAATTTAGTTAAACAGTTTCAAATCTCTTGCCAAATCATCATTGGATATGTACGTATTATTCCTTAACCTCCTAATAAAATAAGGTCTCAGGAAGTGATTTGTGTTGTTAGTTTCATGTCAGTTGCTATCAAAGTATATTTCCCTAACAACTATTTACCAATCTGTTTACTCCAAAAATAAAACTCAGTCCCATTGACTTGAAGGGTTCAGGCTGAACTATAAAACCAAGGTCTCAGGTGAATCTTTTGTCTATTGCTACCTGCAGCCACAGGACTCCACCACCATGTCCTCGTACTGTTTGTAGACCACGTTATTGGCTGAGTCAATGTAGAGGATGCTGATTGGGCTGAGGCGAGTGGGCACGCAGCAGGTGGGCGGAGTTGAGTCAGGGTCCATGGAGTTCATGAGCGTCTGGATGATGGCGTGGTTGGTGGGCTCGAGGTGCGAGCGGATGGGGAAGTCGCACACCCCGTCGCAGTGGTAGGCCTCATACTCCAGTGGGGCAATGATCCAATCGTCCCAACCCATCTCCTTGAAGTTGACATGCAGCTGCTTCCTGTGGCAACGAGGCTTGGGGTTCTTGGCCAGCTTCTTGCCGCGGGTGGTGGGGGCTCTGCGCATACGCCGCTGGGTGAACAGGTACTCGTACACAGTCTTGTTGTCATGGCCCGACCGTGCTTTGATCTCATTGTAGAACAAGTCGCGTTTCTTGGTGCGCCCGAACACGAGGAAAAAGGCCTTCTCTTTGGTCTGCCTGCCCAGACGACTGAAGCCCATTGCCCTGAGGTCCATGGGGCGGCCCTGTTCTAAGGCCTCCAGCTCGAAACAAAGCTGGACGGTGTTCTGGAAATTCTTGAATAGTTTCCAAACGTCAAACACTTCCCATTTGGGTGTATTGTGGTCCACAATGGTTCGAGTTTGGAGCAGTGTAGCTTTCTGCTTACCTGCTGCACAGGTGAAAAGCTTCAGGCAGAAAACTCTGCCAGTGGAAAGTGCTTTGCGTGGGTCGGCCAGTCTTTTCCTGAGAATGCGCAGCTCAGCACCCAGTAACCCCTCCTTCTCCAGGGAACTGATGTTAAAGTTATACTTCTGTCTTCTCAGCTGGGGAAGACGGTCATCTGTAAAAGAAGGTGACAGAGTCAAGGGCAAGAATAAAAATAATATTGACATGTTCCCTTACGTGCTAATGTGGCTTCTCAGGTAACACCCAGGAGGTAAGAGTTATGTATAATGTTTTTCTTTGTTTTTGGTGAGGGAAAGCATGGCCATATACAAATGAAAGCCAGGATTTTCATCCAGGAACAGTATGAGTTCGAAAGTACATTAAAACCAGACATTTGCAGACTACAGACCACATTGAAGTATAAACAGACAATTAATGTAGACCTGCAGCTGTTTACCAGTGGACCTACCACTACGTAATATGGCATTTGCTAAGAGTGGACCAAAAACCACTGGAACAATACAAAAGATAGAGAAAGGGTGGATAATTGTCCATGTCAATGTGGAGTGACTTGTGGGTTTAGAAGCACAACCAGAGATAAAAACTTACGCTGAGCTCCAAAAATATTGCGACAGTGACACATTCTTTGTTGTTTTGACTCTGTGGTCCAGCACTTTGGGTTTGAAATGAGACAATGACTATAAGCTTAAAGTGCAGACTGTCAGCTTTTAGTTGAGGGTGTTTTCATCCATATCGGATGAACAGTTTAGAAATGATAGCACTTTTTGTACATTGTTCCCCCATTTTAGGGGACCAAAAGTCTTGGGACAAATTAACTTATATGTCTGTTAAAGTAGTCAAAAGTTTAGTATTTGGTCCCATATTCCTAGCACGAAATGATTACATCAAGCTTGAGACTCTACAAACTTGTTGGATTCATTTGCTGTTTGATTTGGTTGTGTTTCAGATTATTTTGTGCCCAATAGAAATTAATGGTAAATAATGTATTGTGTGGATGCTATAGATGCTACCATGATTACGGATAGTCCTGATAGAATCGTGAATAATGATGACTGAGAAAGTTAGACGCACAAATATCATACCCCGAAGACATGCTAACCTCTCACCTTTACAATAACAGGGGAGGTTAGCATTTTTGGAGGGTATGATAACATTCTCACTCATCATAGAAGCTTCCTACTTGAAGCCTGAAAAAAATGTTAATCATTATTCATTCAGGACTATCCATAATCATGGTAGCATCCACAGTAATGTGTTTAGAAACATATTCTATTCTTATTGACAATAAAAGTGACACCAAAATGACACAATACATTATTTACCATTAATTTCTATTGGGCACAAAATAATCTGAAACACAATCAAAACAAACAGAAAATGCATCCATCACATTTGTAGAGTCACAAGCTTGATGGAATCATTGCATGCTAGGAATATGGGACCAACTATAAAAATGTTGACTACTTTAATACACGAGTGAATTTGTCCCAATACTTTTGGTCCCCTAAAATGTGGGAACTGTGTACAAAAAGTGCTGTAAGTTCTAAACGGTTCACCCGATATGGATGAAATACTCTCAAATTAAAGCTGACAGTCTGCACTTTGTGTTCTGTTTTACATATGAAAAAAACGTAATGTCTGGTTAGAACTCTTTTGGGGGGGAAGGTCACCAACAATTTGCTGAAGACACATTATACAAATAAAGTGCATATTAAAAGTACATTAAGTGCTTTAAATGTAAACCTTTAGCAGCTAGAAATATTCAACCAATGTCGTTTAAACATCATTTTAAACAGTTTTACTCAGTAAAGAAAACATTACATAGAGGCTTCCTACATGAAGCCCGATGGTCTATTTATTTACACTTTAGAGGCTGCAAATCACTAATGGGATGGCTATGCAGATGGATACTGACAGTGTGACAGACCCATGACCAAGGTAAAAAACGATTATGTCAAACCGCCAGAAACCTATGTCCGGCCACATTACACAAGCCATGGAACCTTTTGACTTAACCTTCAAGTTTACTTTGACTTTAGCTTTACTTTACCTCTCTAATAGAGAGGTTTGTTTGATGAGCATAGGCCTACAGCTCCAATTGATTCTGAGACCTGGTCTCTTGGTTGTGTTTTATTTATAAAGTTAACAAAATGCTACATTTAAAGATAAGTAAGCAAATTCAGAATTTGGGCTCAACCTTCATAATTATTCTACTTTCTTTGGCAGAAATAATGAGCAAGTTTATTATGAGACAATTGTTTATATGGCACTCATTGTTTATATGGCATCAAAAGTTTACCTTGTCCTTTATCCACAAAGCTGGTGATGGTGTTGGCCATGCCAGCTTCATGCAACACGCTAGTGTTCACCTCTCCTGTGGATAGTGACCAATACAGTGACAACATGTAGTCGTGCGGAGTCACCAATGGGTGCTTCGGAGAGTCTCGGTCGCTCAGTTTGCTCGTTGCTTTGACACTCCTTTGGGCCAACGGAGCGGTGTATTTTTGCACAGCAATGACTCTATGCTGTCCAGTTCGTGCTGATGTTGCAGCTCTGGGGAAAGTCTTTACTTTGCTCTGTCCGGGCGTGCCTGCGCCTTTGCTTGTTTGCACGCTCAACGCCGTGAGAGCAGGCGTAGCAGCTGCGTTGGTAGCATCTCCACCGGGTACCCAAGAGCGCGCAGACTCCTTGCGCCCCAAATTGATAGCTCCACTAAGACTACTCGCCGTTACGCCGTGCGGTGATGACACTGATGTCACAGCTTTTGCTTTGACTGCCTCGCCCTTTATCAGCGGGGGTCCTGTCCTAATGCGCGTGATCCTCGCAGCACTTGGAGACTTCCAACCCGCTGCGCCGTAGTTTCCTACCGTAGACCTGGCAGTTGAGGCGATTCCCGGGTTGGCTCCTTTACCTGCTCCGCCTGTGTGCTCCTTGCCTCGGCTCTCGGCTGCGCGCTGTGCCGTCCCGGTATGGCTCAGTGACACTGGGATACATTCCAGGTATAAGAGAGTCCAACACCCCAATAAAAGAGGGAGACGTTTCAGTACTTTCATCCTCTGATCTTCCTTTGAATTTTTGCCAGGGAGAAATGCGCACAGGCTTTTCCCGTTTGAAATAAGTAAACATGAACAAGTTTGGAAAAGTGAAAATGTGGACTAGAATTTAGTATTCTATGGTAAAATACACTATGCAAACCGTTACTCCCAGATCCGCTATTCAGTACCATAGTGATGCAAATGTCCTGTTGCAGGTCTTGCTTTCCAATATAGCCTACAGTAGTCCAAGAAGGTTTGCATTGAGAGGGGAAAACTTGACTTCGTTAAACTCCAACTGTTCTGCTCGATATCTTGTCACAGACTTGTTTAAATCCCATTTTTTTTCCAAGAGGGAAGAATGGCGTAATGCTACTGCAGTTTTTTTATCTCGAAGTTGAACCCCTTCCAGTGAAAATATTTCACACACAGAACCATGCAGGTGCTCTGAAATCTTTACAAACCTGAACTCAGGAATTGGAAACGGAATTCAAACACAAACCAGTTTAATTAGGTGTGCTTGCTGAAAGCAAAGCACAACTCTAGATTTCTGAAATAGTCTCCTTATTAGCTGTGCTTGCTGAAAGCCAACACCATGTGCTTGCTGAAAGCAAAGCACATCTCTAGATTTCATACATATTTATTATTAGGTGTGCTTCCTGAAGGCAAAGCACTAGATTTCTTAAATAATCTTCTTATTAGGTGTGCTTGCTGAAAGCCAACACCATGTGCTTGCTGAAAACAAAGCACAGCTCTAGATTTCATACATACAGTGCATTAGGAAAGTATTCAGACCCCTAGACTTTTTCCACATTTTATTACATTACAGTCTTATTCTAAAATTGAATGAATTGTTTTTTCCCCTCATCAATCTACACACAATACCCCATAATGACAAAGCAACAAATGTTTTTTAGACATTTTAGAGAATGTATAATTTAAAAAAAAAAAAACTGAAATATTACTCAGTACTTTGCTGAAGGACCTTTGGCAGCAATTACAGCCTTGAGTCTTCTTGGGTATGACACTACAAGCTTGGCACTCCTGTATTTGGGGAGGTTCTCCCATTCTTCTCTGCAGATCCTCTCAAGCTCTGTCAGGTTGGATGGGGAGCATTGCTATACAGGTATTTTCAGGTCTCTCCAGAGATGTTCGATCTGGTTCAAGTCCGGGGTCTGGCTGTACCACTCAAGGACATTCAGAGACTTGTCCTGAAGCCACTCCTGCGTTGTCTTGGCTGTGTGCTTAGGGTCGTTGTCCTGTTGGAAGGTGAACCTTCGCCCCAGTCTGATGTCCTGAGTGCTCTGGTGCAGGTTTTCATCAGAATCTCTCTGTAATTTGCTCTGTTCATATTTCCCTCGATCCTGACTAGTCTCCTAGTCCCTGCTGCTGAAAAACATTGCCACAGCATGATGCTGCCACCACCATGCTTCACCGTATGGTTGGTGCCAGGTTTCCTCCAGACGTGACGCTTGGAATTCAGGCCAAAGAATTCAATCTTGGTTTCATCAGACAAGAGAATCTTGTTTCTCATTGTCTGAGAGTCCTTTAGGTGCCTTTTGGAAAACTCCAAGCAGGCTGTTTTATGCCTTTTACTGAGGAGTGACTTCCATCTGGCCACTGTACCATAAAGGCCTGATTGGTGGAGTGCTGCAGAGATGGTTGTCCTTCTGGAAGGTTCTCCCATCTCCACAGAGGAACTCTGGAGCTCTGTCAGAGTAACCATCTGGTTCTTTGTCACCTCCCTGACCAAGGCCCTTCTCCCCCGATTGCTCAGTTTGGCCGGGCTGCCAGCTCTAGGAAGAGTCTTGGTGGTTCCAAACTTCTTCTCTTCATTTAAGAATGATGGAGGCCACTGTGTTCTTGGGAATCTTCAATGCTGCAGAAATGTTTTGGTACCCTTCCCCAGATCTGTGCCTCGAAACAATCCTGTCTTGGAGCTCTACGGACAATTCCTTCGACCTCATGGCTTGGTTTTTACTCTGACATGCACTGTCAACAGTGGAACCTTATATAGACAGGTGTGTGCCTTTCCAAATCATGTCCAATCAATTGAATTGACCACAGGTGGACTCCAATCAAGTTGTAGAAACATCTCAAGGATGTACCTGAGCTCAATTCCGTGTCTCATAGCAAAGGGTCGAAATACTTACAGTTGAATTCGGAAGTTTACAAACACTTAGGTTGGAGTCATTAAAACCAGTTTTTTTTTTTTTTTCAACCGCTCCACAAATTTCTTGTTAACAAACTATAGTTTTGGCAAGTCGGTTAGGACAACTACTTTGTGCATGACACAAGTAATTGTTCCAGCAATTGTTTACAGACAGATTATTTCACTCTATCACAATTCCAGTGGGTCAGAAGTTTACATACACTGCCTTTAAACAGCTTGGAAAATTCCAGAAAATGAAGTCATGGCTTTAGAATCTTCTGATAGGCTAATTGACATCATTTGAGTCAATTGGAGGTGTACCTGTGGATATATTTCAAGGCCTACCTTCAAACTCAGTGTCTCAATCAGCCAAGGCCTTGAAAAAAAGTTGTAGACCTCCACAAGTCTGGTTCATCTGTATAAACAATAGTACGCAAGTATAAACATCATGGGACCACACAACCGTCATACCGCTCAGGATGGAGACGCGTTCTGTCTCCTAAAGTTTAACGTTCTTGGTGCGAAAAGTGCAAATCAATCCCAGAACAACAGCAAAGGACCTTGTGAAGATGCTGGAGGAAACAGGTACAAAAGTATCTATATCCAGAGTAAAACGAGTCCTATATCAACATAACCTGAAAGGCCGCTCAGCAAGGAAGAAGCCACTGCTCCAAAACCGCCATAAAAAAGTCAGACCAAGGTTTGCAACTGCACATCGGGACAAAGATCATACTTTTTGGAGAAATGTCCTCTGGTCTGATGAAACAAAAATAGAACTGATTGGCTATAATGACCATCGTTATGTTTGGAGGAAAAAGGGGGTTACTGTTACCGAAGAACACCATCCCAACCGTGAAGCACGGGGGTGGCAGCATCATGCTGTGGGGGTGCTTTGCTGCAGGAGGGACTGGTTCACTTCACAAAATAGATGGCATCACGAGGAAGGAAAATCAGGTGGATATATTGAAGCAACATCTCAAGACATCAGTCAGGAAGTTAAAGCTTGGCCGCAATTGAGTCTTCCAAATGGACAATGACCCCAAGCATACTTCCAAAGTTGTGGAAAAATGGCTTAAAGACAACAAAGTCAAGGTATTGGAGTGGCCATCACAAAGCCCTGACCTCAATCCTATAGAACATTTGTGGGCAGAACTGAAAAAGCGTGTGCGAGCAAGGAGGCCTACAAACCTGACTCAGTTACACCAGCTCTGTCAGGAGGAATGGGCCAACATTCACCCAACTTATTGTGGGAAGCTTGTGGAAGGCTACCCAAAACGTTTAACCCAAGTTTAACAATTTAAAGGCAATGCTACCAAATACTAAGTGAGTGTATGTAAACTTCTGACCCACTGGGAAAGTGATGAAAGAAATAAAAGCAGAAATAAATCATTCTCTCTACTATTATTCTGACATTTCACATTCTTAAAATAAAGTGGTGATCCTAACTGACCTAAGACAGGGAATTTTTACTAGGATTAAATGTCAGGAATTGTGAAAAACTGAGTTTAAATGTATTTGGCTAAGGTGTATATAAACCTCCGACTTCAACTGTATGTAAATAAGGTATCTGTTTTTATTTAGAATACCTTTGCAAAATTTTCTAAAAACCTGTTTTCGCTTTGTCATTATGGGGTATTGTGTGTACATTGCTGAGGGAAAAAAAAACATGAGACTCAAATTTTAGCTCAGGTACGTCCTGCTTCCATTGATCATCCTTGAGATGTTTCTACAACTTTGATTGGAGTCCACCTGTGGTCAATTCGATTGATTGGACATGATTTGGAAAGGCACACACACCTGTCTATATAATGTCCCATAGTTGACAGTGTCTTCAGAAAGTATTTGTAAAGGACATCACGCTGCTTGCTTAGCGAGTTCCACGTCCTCCCAATTCAGCCCTACCTGATGCTAACTCGGGACCTCTGCATCACAAACACACATGACCGTCCTCCCTCAAGTATTTTAGCCGATCGCGCCACCTGAAAAGTTAGTTAATGAGGCGATGCAAGCAGGACACTTAAGGCTGAGAAGTACGTTTTACACATACCCATGCGCTACATATTCACACCCCTTTACCTTTTCCACAATTTGTTATGTTACAGCTTCAATGGATTCACCTGAGATTTAGTGTCACTGGCATACACACAATACCACAATGTGGTATTATGTTTTTGAAATTTCTACAAATTAATTTAGAATGAACCGCAGAAATGTCTTGAGACAATAAGTATTCAACCCCTTTGTTATGGCAAGTCTAAATAAGTTCAGGAGTAAACATTTGCTTAACAAGTCACATAATAAGTTGCATGTACTCACTATGTGTACAATAACAATGTTTAACATGATTTTTTTATGATACCACATCTCTGTACCCCACATATACATTTATCTGTAAGTCCCTCAGTCGAGTAGTGAATTTCTAATGCAGATTCAACCACAAAGACCAGGGAGGTTTTCCAATGCCCCGCAAAGAAGGGCACCTATTGGTAGATGGGTAAAAATAAAAAAGTAGATATTGAATATACCTTTGAGTATGGTGAAGTTATTAATTACACTTTAGATTATGAATCAATACATCCAGTCACTACAAAGATACAGGAGTCCTTCCTAACTCAGTTGCCGGAGAGGAAGGAAACCGCATGAGGCCAATGATGACTTTAAACAGTTACATAGTTTAATGGCTGTGATAGGAGAAAACTGAGGATGGATCAACAACATTGTATTTACTCCACAATACTAACCTAAATGACAGTGAAAAGAAGGACGGCTGTACAGAATAAAAATATTACAAAACATGCATCCTGTTTGCAATAAGGCAATAAAGTAAAACTGCAAAAAATGTGGCTAAGAAATTAACTTCATGTCCAGA